TGGAGGCTCCAACACCTATGGGTTGGATTGGCACCCCAACTTGCAATCCTACACCCTAATGTTGGGTGTAGGCCTACAAAGCAAGCTACACCCAAAGTTGGGTGTAGCCCCAACCCTTTTACACTTAGCATGCTAGAATATATTTCTAACAGCCAGCTCAGCGTACTCAAATGGCAGGTGCAAGCAGCTCACCAAACACACTATCAGCTCATCATACTCGCCCACCAGCTCAGCATAATCACATGCCATCTTAGCATACTCACATGCCAGCTCAGCATACTCACATGCCAGCTCATCGTACTCGTCGTCCCCAATGAGGTAGATGCGGATGTCAGCAATGGAAGTGTAGACCACGTAGGTGTTGCTGGGATGGGGGGAGGGAAGGGGAGGGCAGGGGAGGGGGTGATGTGAACGGGTGCGATGAGGAGAGCACCCAACGAGGTATATGAGGATGTCAGCAATGGATGTGTAGACCACGTAGGTGTTGCTGGGATGGGATGGGACATGGTGATGGGGGAGACGTGGGGGAATGATGTGATGAGATGTGATGAGGGGTGGGAAGACGGGTGAAGGGATGAAGCGAATGTAGAGGGAAACCACAAAACGACGGACGGGGAGCGAAGGGATGTAAGGCGAGGGGAGGGGAGATGGGGGCGGTGGGTGAGCGAAGGGGAGAGGGGTTGAGAGGAGGGAATGGGGGAACCAAAAGGGAATGAGGGAGGAGAAAAGAAGAGGTGGGGAACGAGGTGAAGGGCTGAAGGGAAGAACTAGAATTGGAATGCGTCAATTAAGAAGGGGAGTCAGCAATGGGTGCAAACAGACCACACAGGTTTTGCTGGGAGGTGAAAACACCTACCTGTACCTGAAACACGTAGTTTAAATGCCTACTACTTGTAACACCTACTTGTAACACCTACTTCTAACACATACTTGTAACACTTACTTGTAACACCTACTCGAAACACCTACTCGTAACACCTACTCGAAACACCTACTCGTAACACCTACTCGTAACACCTACTCGTAACACCTACTCGTAACACCTACTCGTAACACCTACTCGTAACACCTACTCGTAACACCTACTCGTAACACCTACTCGTAACACCTACTCGTAACACCTACTCGTAACACCTACTCGTAACACCTACTCGTAACACCTACTCGTAACACCTACTCGTAACACCTACTCGTAACACCTACTCGTAACACCTACTCGTAACACCTACTCGTAACACCTACTCGTAACACCTACTCGTAACACCTACTCGTAACACCTACTCGTAACACCTGGTAACATGCCACGAATGGATCGTCAGGCAAAGCAATGGACTTATTGTCGTGACCCAGCTTATACACCTAGATACCTACTCGTGACACCTACTGGTAACACCTACTTGTAACAGGCCACGAATTGCTCTTCAGGCACAGCAATTGACAGGTTGTCGTGACCCAGCTGGAAGAGGAACGCCCGCCATTGGCCGCGCTCGTCCGCTGATAGCCCATGGAATCTGATTGGTCGGGTGCATCAGGCATGGGAGGAGAAATCTTTGAGTCGACTTGGAAAACGAAACTCATTGGTCAGGCGAATCAAGCAGCATAGGTGGGAAGGAGAAGAGGGGTAATGAGTTGAGTCAACTGCCACTCCCGCTTCTTTTCCTTGTCATACAATAGTCGTGTTCGAGGAGAAAAACGCTGATTAGGCGAGGAGAGAAAGAGGAAGAGACAGAAGATTAATCTTTGCCAGCTCCTTACCTCTCCAAAAGAATATTCCCTGTCTTATTCGTTATCAGCAAGCACTTGAACATGTCTCGTATAGTCCAGTTACGTGCGGTATCAGTGGTTGCTGCAATTGCGGTATCTTATCGAAGCAAATAACTCTATGGCGCAAACATTAGTCCTGGAAGATCTGGTTAAGTTAATCTGTCGTGCTCGTTTGCACAACGCCACGCGTGTGATGAGACGACGATTCTTATGTCGACTCAGAAATCCTGGAAGAACTTCAAAAGCTATCCTGCCATGCCCGTTAGCTCTCGCGTTTCCAGGGGTGTTCGAAGCTCGTTCCGTTGCTAAACTACTCGTCTCTAGGTTCTAACGCATATCCTGTCGTAACCGGAAATAACTTGCAATATCGCACCCCTCTCGGCACCACAACAACACACCGCGTGACGAGGTAGCACGATATGCAGTCAATGAGACTCACGCAAACTAGGAGACTAGATTCCTGGCACACGAACCAACAAGCAGCTCTGGGGAAATACTCGCCACTGGGTGAGCGTTTTCTAGTTCACGGCAGAGAAAATAGGGCAGGTCGAAAAGAACGTTCCAGGTTCGTCCAGCGCGGTTCAGTACGTTGATTCAAGGTCGGAAAACAATATTTGGGTTCCACCGCTTTTGAACATTGCGCACCATACTGCACTCTAGACTACAAATGTCAATGAAAAAACCTGACCCACTTGGGTCTCCTTTTTTACGGACCTGCTCAACTTTGATGGTTCCTAATTCCCGTCTTTCCCGTCTCTAACTCCCGTTTCGCCCAGCCGTCCTTCCTCTCACCGCCAAGTTTCGAACACGTTGAAGCCTCGGATTCGAAACAGCATTCTTATTTCCTCGCCCTCCTGTGTCGATTCCGATAATGGAGCCGCGTTTCACGACATAGCACGATTTGTTCCGTCAGGCGTTGCTTCGACCATCACCCCAGTTTCGCGACTGTCGCAAACATGGAAGCGTTTTTCGCGACACTGCGTGAGCTTCTCACTCGCGCGACGATTCTCGAACCGCCGTCAGCCTCCACTCTCGCCTCCCTCTTCCGAATCGCCGTACCCGTTATGTTCCTCCTCTCTCCCATTGCATTCCTCGCCACCACATTCATCTCCGCGCCTTACGGCCGACACGTGCGACCCGGCTGGGGGTCGCCAGTCCCCGCGCGGCTCGCGTGGATCGTTATGGAGAGCCCCGCGCTTTGGCTCTCCGCCATGACGTTCAGCTGGGGCTGGCACGGCTGCCACGTGGCAGATCGGACGGTAGGATCAGCAGCGGGTGCGACGGCAGCGGTAGCGGCGGCAGCGGATGCGGCCCCGGTTATTATGGCGTTTTATCTGGTGCATTATTTTCACCGGGTGGTGATTTACCCGATGCGGATGCGAGCGGAGGGCAAGACGATGCCGCTGACAGTGATGCTGCTGGCGTTCTGCTACAACCTGCTCAACGGATTCATGCAGGGCTGGCAGTGAGTGCGAATGAGGGCTGGCAGAGAGTGGGAATGAGGAATGCTGCTTGCTTGCTTGCTGGCTGGCTGGCGTGCTGCTGCAACCTGCTCATTGGATTCATGCAGGGACAGCAGTGAGTGGGAATGAGTACTGCTTGCTTGCTGGGTTGCCGGCTGGTGCCCTGCTGCAACCCTCTCAACAAATTGACTCAGGGATGGCAGTGAGTGAGGGGGGTGAATGATTGTGCTGCTGGTGCACTCTGACGGAGAGACCAGTAGAAGCAATAACGAGCCTGCTACAAACATGTACAAGGAATCTGTGTAGGGATCACACCAATGAGGGTACTGGATGGACCTGCAGTAAGCAGTACTGCCATGCTCCTAGTAAATCTGCTGGTCCTGCTCAAGACAGCCGAGTGAAGGATATCACACGGTAAGGGTGTCTTACCTGTTCCCCTTTACCAGTTAACTGTCGTGCAGTCTCCCCTTTTCCTCGCCCCCTGTTTCTTACGATGATAATTTCTCAGATATCTCTTCTCACCATTGTAAACGTCCTCTCACACCCCGTGTCTGTTCTGCAGGGTGGGAGGCGCAGGGAAGTATCCTCTGTCTTGGCTCTCTTCACCGCAGTTTCGCATTGGCTCCTCGCTGTTTCTCCTCGGTTTCATCACCAACATTGCTGCGGATTCAGCTCTTCTTGCCCTAAGGAAATCCTCTGGGGACAAAGGATACAAGATCCCTAGAGGGCCGCTTTTTCACCTGGTTTCCTGCCCGAACTACACTGGAGAACTAGCTGAATGGTTGGGGTGGGCCATGCTGACATGGTCTTGGGCAGGACTGGCTTTCTTTGTATTTGCGTGTGCCAATCTCGTGCCACGGGCTGTGTCCCACCATAGGTGGTACTTACAGAAGTTTGAGGATTATCCGAAGCAAAGGAAGGCAATTGTGCCTTTCTTGCTCTAGATAATAAGAGTACTCCTCATCGTATGTACCGTAACATTTCTCGCGGGAAAAATATGCCAATGGTAACTTATATGGGGCACTATTACGCGTACCGTAACCATTACAGGTAATTTTCACGCGTTTGGTAACTATACACTAGCAGCCCATCACGCAAATGGTAACTAGAAGATATTCTCGCCCAAAATGATCAAGATTTTAGTTTTTCCCGCTCGCGCCAGATTTAACTGACGAATCCTGACGCACCAAGTTCTGACACACTTTCCAAAACTCGGGCCGTTTACGTAAAGTAACTGTTTGGAAAACTGTTTTACAAACTCAAAGAATATTAGTGCGCTCTTTCAGAACATTGTATGTAAATATCCCTACTGCATGTTCGAGGCGAAAAAACAGAAACCCCTTTCAAATGACAAGCACTCCTTAGAGCATCAACCCTAAACACCTTGCGACAAGGCGTGTAGGGTTTTTTTCTTTAAAAAAAAAAAAAAGGCATGCCATACGGGAGGGGTATATTATTCTCCCGCCTGTACAACTACACTGTCGTTTGATGAAATAGGTACATTTTCTAAATTTTCAATTTCATCGCCTTTCCTAGAAAATTCTATCACTTTCGCGGGTTAAATAATTATTACGGAACGGCTCCGAAATTATTTAGTCTGTGGGAATGTAACACACACGATCCTTCGCGATCGTTCAGGAAATTTAAAACACGAAGCCTGAATTACAAAAACTGAGTCAACGCTTGGTTTGGTAGGTCTGAGGTTCGGGCAATATGAGGTGCGGAGGAATTGCGAAAGGTACCAGGTTAGCGAAGCCTGATGCGAGACTCTCCATGAGGCAAACAGTTCGCAGGCAATTTGCTTACCAACCTCAGAGAGCTGGTGAACTGGTGCGACAGAAGAACAAGCTAACAAACTCCTTCACTCGCTTTTGGAATCCGACCATCGCACACCAGCTAGGGTTTTTTAGTGAACACATATCAGACAACCGGAAATAGTAGGTCCAGCGTGTATACGCAATCGAAGCACGGAGAAACTGGGCGTGAGGAGATGAGAAATTAGCGCTTTGCCTACCTCGCGACCCTCGCCCGTCGCCCTGGCTTTCTCCGCCCACCGCCCTCGCCCCGCCCGTCGCCCTCGCCGCCTCGCCGCCTCGCCGCCCGTCGACCTCGCTTCCCTCGCCCGTCGAACTCGCTTCCCTCGCCCGTCGCTCTCGCTTTCCCCGCCTACCACCCTCGCCTTGCCCGTCGCCCTCGCCGCTTCCCCGCCCGTCGCCCTCGCTTCCGCCCGTCACCCTCCCTTCCGCCCGTCGCCCTCCCTTCCGCCCGCCGCCCTTCCTTCCCCTCGTCGCGCTCCCTTCCGCCCGTCGCTCTCCCTTCGTCTCGTCGCCCTCCCTTCCTCCCGTTGCCTTCCCTGCGAGCCCGCCGCCCTTCCTTCCCCTCGTCGCGCTCCCTTCCGCCCGTTGCCCCCCTTCGTCTAGTCGCCCTCCCTGCCGCTCGTCACCCTCCCTCCCGCTCGTCCCCTCGCAATCCCCGTCTCTCTCTCGCCGTCTGTCGCCCTCGTTTTCCCCGTCGCCCTCCCTTCCACTCATCGTTGCCCTCGCCATCCCTCCCTTCTCCCTTCCCATCTCGCACACTTGTCACTCCCCCTTTCCAACCCGCACATACACCCTTCCCTCTCCCGAATAATCGCCTTTCACCCCCACAATGCTTACCTCTCTCCCTCTTCCCCCCATAATTTTCCAGGCTCCCCGCCGTCCTCCCCCCAGCTCTCTCCCCGGCATCTCCCCCGCTCCCCACGTCCTCTTCCCTTTTTCCCCGTATCCTCTGCAATGCTTCCCCCCGTCCCCTCCCCTGCCTTCCCCCATCCCCTTCCCTGCTTCCCCCCAACCCCTTCCCTGCTTTCCCCCATCCCCTTCCCTGCTTCCCCCCAACCCCTTCCCTGCTTCCCCCCATCCCCTTCTCTGCTTCCCCCCATACCCTTACCTGCTTCCCCCCATCCCCTTCCCTGCTTCCCCCCAACCCCTTCCCTGCTTCCCCCCATCCCCTTCCCTGCTTCCCCCCATCCCCTTCCCTGCTTCCCCCCATCCCCTTCCATGCTTCCCCCCATCCCCTTCCATGCTTCCCCCCATCCTCTTCCCTGCTTCACCCCATAATCTCCCTTTCCCCCTCCCGTCGACCGCGCTTTCCCCCTCCCGTCGACCGCGCTTTCCCCCTCCCGTCGACCGCGCTTTCCCCCTCCCGTCGACCGCGCTTTCCCCCTCCCGTCGACCGCGCTTTCCCCCTCCCGTCGACCGCGCTTTCCCCCTCCCGTCGACCGCGCTTTCCCCCTCCCGTCGACCGCGCTTTCCCCCTCCCGTCGACCGCGCTTTCCCCCTCCCGTCGACCGCGCTTTCCCCCTCCCGTCGACCGCGCTTTCCCCCTCCCGTCGACCGCGCTTTCCCCCTCCCGTCGACCGCGCTTTCCCCCTCCCGTCGACCGCGCTTTCCCCCTCCCGTCGACCGCGCTTTCCCCCTCCCGTCGACCGCGCTTTCCCCCTCCCGTCGACCGCGCTTTCCCCCTCCCGTCGACCGCGCTTTCCCCCTCCCGTCGACCGCGCTTTCCCCCTCCCGTCGACCGCGCTTTCCCCCTCCCGTCGACCGCGCTTTCCCCCTCCCGTCGACCGCGCTTTCCCCCTCCCGTCGACCGCGCTTTCCCCCTCCCGTTGACCTCACTTTCCCCTGTCCGTCGCCCTCGTTTCCCCTCCCCTTTCCCCCTCTGTTTCCCCTTGCTCCATCTGTTTCCCCTTGCTCACTCTGTTTCGCCCTTCTCACACTCTTCCCCCTCCTCCTCTTTTTCCACCTTGCTGACTATATTCCCCACTACTCACTCTCTTCCCCCCTGCTCAATCTGTCCCCCGCTGCTTCTTCTCGTCCCTTCTGCTCATTCCGTTTACTGTCTTTCCCCCCACCCCCATATCCTCCAATGCAGTTACAGGTGCCCAGCACCAGATGTTGCGGCTTTACCACGGCCTGGTTTATTGCTTGCAGTGTAGCAGACAAAACCAGGAAGCAACGTTACACAACCCCTAGCTTAGTTCTTTTCTCGAGTTGAGTGATTCCCCTTACTTTTACAGATACGGTAATATATTTTGGTAGTGGTCATGTACACGACTGCCCTAACGCTCATAATGATGTATTTCAAAAAATGAACCAATACATGGCATGGCTATACATCGAGTTACTATCAAACAGCCAACACATCACAACCAGATGCAGAGCAGACCTGTACAAACACAAACCAGGAAGTCAGATGTGACATGGCTGAAGTACCGGTAGAAGGGAAGCAAGCATGCAAAAGAATGACAACTCGCAAATGAGGAAGGGAGGAACGGAGGAAGGGGGGAAGCGAGGAATGCAGGAATGAAGGGAGGAAGTGATGATGGGAGGAAGGGAGGTAGGGAGGACGTGGGGGAGAGAAGCAGAAGGGAGGGGAGGAAGAGAGGCTGGGGAGGAAGGTGAGGAGGAGAAAGGGTGGCAGGGAGGAAATGAGGATGAGGAAAGGGGCTTGGAGAGGAGGGAATGAGAAAATGATGGGTTTGGAAGAGGAGGGATGGCGAGAGGAGGGGAAGGGAGAGGATGGATGGGGAAAGGATGGATGGGGAGAGGAGGGGATGGGTAGGGGATAGGTATAGGAGGTGGTGAAGAACAAACTTCTTGGCGAGGCGGAAGATGGGAAGAAGCAGGGAGGAGAGGGGACGGGGTGGAGGTGACGTGGAGGTCGCGGGATGGGGTATGACCGTATGGTGGAATGGTGAAAGTAGGCACGGGGAATGGAAGGATGGCGAACGGAGGCAGAGGGAATGATGGGATGTGGAAGGAAGGGAACCCTAAACGAGGAAAAGGGGATGGGAAGTAGGATGGCAGGGCGGAATGGGGTGAGGTAGAATGGGGAGGGGCGGAATGGGGTGGGGCGGAATGGGGTGAGGCGGAATGGGGAGAGGCGGAATGGGGTGAGGCGGAATGGTGTGAGGCGGAATGGGGAGATGAGGGATGGGGAGATGAGGGATGGGGAGATGAGGGATGGGGAGATGAGGGATGGGGAGATGAGGGATGGGGAGATGAGGGATGGGGAGATGAGGGATGGGGAGATGAGGGATGGGGAGATGAGGGATGGGGAGATGAGGGATGGGGAGATGAGGGATGGGGAGATGAGGGATGGGGAGATGAGGGATGGTGAGATGAGGGATGGGGAGATGAGGGATGGGGAGATGAGGGATGGGGAGATGAACGCGTATGCGACAGAAGCGGAGAATGCCTTCTCGGTCGAGGGGAGGGTGCGTGCGAGCGTGACGGCAGGGAGAAGAGCGTGGGCGACGGATGGGGCCGAACGCGACGGGAGGGAGCGAGCGTGGGCGGCGGAAGGGGAGTGAGCGAAGGCGACGGGAGGGAGTGAGCGTGGGATACGGAGGGGAATTTCGCGAAGGCGACGGGAGGGGGGTGAGCGTGGGCGACGGAAGGGAGTGAGCGTGTGCGACGTACGGGCAGTGAGCGTGGGCGATGGAAGGGGAATGAGCGTGCTTCCCGTCTGAGTGAGCGTGGGTGACGGGAGAGAGTGAGCGTGGGCGACGGAGGGGAGTGAAGGTGGGCGATTAAGGGAATGAGCGTGTGCGACGGAGGGGACTGTCGTGACGGGGGGGAGTGAGCGTGGGCGGTGGAAGGGGAGTGGGCGAACGCGACGGGAGGGAGTGCGCGTGGGCGGCGGAAGGGGAGTGAGCGAGGGCGACGGGAGGGAGTGAGCGTGGGCAGCGGAAGGGGAGTGAGCGAAGGCGACGGGAGGGAGTGCGCGTGGGCTGCGGAAGGGGAGTGAGCGAACACGACGGGAGGGAGTGAGCGAACACGACGGGAGGGAGTGAGCATGGGCGAAGGGGGGGAATGACGAAGACGACGCGAGAGAGTGAGTGTGGACGATGGAGGGGAAAGAGCGAAGGCGAGGGGAGGGGAGTGAGCGTGGGCCACGGGGGGGAATATGTTTACGCGACGGGAGGGATGAGCGTGGGCGACGCATGGGAATATGTTTACGCGACGGGAGGGATAACCGTAGGCGACGCAAGTGAATATGTTTACGCGATGGGAGGGATGAGCGTAGGCGACGGAGGGGAGAAACCCTAATGCGACGGGAGTGCGTCACAACGAGCAAAGATTGCGATTGAGACTGCAGTAGTTGGAGAAAAAAATCCAGATCTAAGCAGTAGTGCAGGGTAATTAGTAGGCTAGGAACTCCCCGATTTCTCTCGACCTGAATCACATTTTCCTGCTAGGTGTGCACACCCACAGCCAAACTCGTTGCCAGGGACCCGGCAACCCTTCCCTGTGTTTCGTGCGGCTTCCTCACTTTTACTGGTTGGACACCTGGTAACCACCCAGGTTCGGGAGGGAAAGTGTTAACACCTCAAAACACTTTTTGTAATTGAGGCTGCGGGGTGCAGACGTCTATTCGAATGAAACAAACTTCTCGAAGTCAGAATCATTTCAGGCGGGAGTTTCATTTAGTTACCATTCGCGTGATCATTCGCCTGCGATGAGTTACCAAATGCGTTAAACGAGTTACCAAACGTGTGAAGTTTTGGAGAAGTTTTATTGATAGGTCGTAACCCATGCATACAGTGTTGGAACAAGAGTGAGTAACCTCAAACCTAAAAGGCTTGCGCCAGACGGCGCATTCTTGCCCTGCCTAGCAAGCAAGTGCAGTGTAAACTACACTGGTCCAACACCTCCGTATGTAGAGAGGGCCTCTTTATGGAGGATGAAAATTTTCGCGTCGAAACCATGACTTGCGTAAATCAGGGTGGAGCGATGGAATGCCCGCCGTGTCACACTGTAGTAGGCGTCGTTTGATACCTAGCCTGAATCTCGATGCGCTTTTCTTCTGCTTTTTTGCCGAGGCCTTGGACCGTCGTATGAAGAAAATTTTGCACGCCAGAAGGAAGGCGGCGAGTACCGTGTGAAGCGTTTGCGGCTCGGGGACCTCAATCTGGTGGTGCACCGCGTCACATCGTTCGTTCCATAGAACTTTAGCAGCTGCCCCCACGAGTAGGCTCCAGGGCGCGACCTGGCCGGCGGGAGTGGGCGGCGGAAAGAGCGCAAGCTCAGCCGGTAGCGTGATGCCGAGGTGCTCGCGGGCGGAATGCTGCAGAGCCGTGATGACCGCGGGGGTGTTCCCGCAGTCGTTAAAGATGTGAGTGAGTGTCTCAGGCGTCCCGTCGTTACATCGCGCACAGTTCCGCCCGAGTGGGGTCAAAGGTACCCTTGTCCCGCATGGTAGCGAACGGATGTAGAGCCGATACAGCACGTCCTTTTGTCGGCTTGGTTGTTCGGTGAGGAAGGGATGTGTAAGTGACGGAAGGGATTCGAGTGCTGTCGGCAGGAGCTCATTCCACCGATCAACATGCGTTAGTGTCTTCCTGGTGTAGAGGAGGTTCCGAATGGATGCTAGGGACGAACAGTGGTGCAGAAATTCAAGCCTGCTGCCCAGGCCAGCACCAGAGCAGAAGGTGCCCGCCAACCAGCCGTTGCGAACGAAAACAGGGATGACCTCGTTGATAGGGAGGATGCAGGTTCCTGAAGGGTGCTCGGCAATCCTCATGTTGTTGACGGAAAAGCAGTTGAAACGCGCCGTGTTGTTGGAGAAGACCGCCTTCGTCTGTAGCACCTGTGACGCCCCGTGTCTGTGGGAAGCCCGAATGGCCCACTCCCCAGCCCCTAGATAGTTAGGAGGTGGTGAGAAGGCGTCGAGGACGGGCCACCAAGCCTTGGGAACCGCGTGATAAATGTCCAGGATGACCCTGAGCGCGCCGGGGAATTCTTTTGGTGGGAACTTGGCTTTGATTTCGTCCTCTTGGAGTTTACGCGATCCTGCAGGCGTGGGAGCGAGGATGTCGCCTAGGCGCAGTTCCTTGGTGAGTAGGAATTTCTCGCCTTTGATGCGTCCGAAAGGGCGTTTATGAGGCCGCACAATCTCGCGCTTGAAAGCGAGGGGTTCGGCCATGAGCACCCATGGTTCGAGCCTTGGAGGGTGAACCGCCGTTGGGAGCTTCAGGGTAGCAGTGAGTTCTGCCACTGCGCGCGCCGGCGTGCTGTCAGGTAGGAATTTGAGGATGTCTTTATGTGCTAGGAAGCAGTGCAATCCGTACGGTAAAGAACAGCAGGACCTGGCGATTTCTTCCATGGGAGTTGGGAGGAACCGTCTTGCCGCGCGTTGCACATCAAGCGCCTGCAGATACTTGGAAGGCTCAATTGCCCCGACTCCCCCATGGCGGCGTTTGTTGTATAGGTAGTCTTTGGGGACGAGCCGCGTCCCACGGCCTTGCGCGCGGTATTTGGAGGTGGACAAGAGGTTCCCAACTGTGATGTCAATTTGTTTTGTGATCCCCTCGGGGGGTGGCTGAAAACGCCCGCCGAAGGCGAATAGGGGGACGAGGCGCTCGGAGCTCAAGGCGGACCGGCAGGTGACAGTGGCATGGATCTTGGCAAGGTTTGCAGCTGTGGTTTGGAGTCTCCCCGTGATTTTGTCCCAGGTGGTGGCTCCTGGGGCGTCGGATTGGATATAAATTCCCAAAATGCGCTCGGCAACGTGTGGTTGTCGTACAGGAATGGGGCACGCGGAGGGAACATCTTCGGGGGGAACATGGAAGAGCGAAAGCGAGCACTTAGACCAGCCAGGGTATTCGCCTGAGACCTCCGCAAAGTCTTGGAGGAGACGAATTGCCGTCTGTACCTCGTTGCCTGAGTTCAGAAAGAGTGACATGTCGTCGGCGTAGCATGCCGCGAGCCGGCGCTGCGTAGGTGAGAGGGCGAAGCCAGGGAGGGCGACCGAGAGGTGTCGGTGAAGTACCTCGATGGCGCAGATGAAAAGGAGAGGCGCCAGGGGGCAGCCTTGCCGCACGCCGGTAAGCACGGGGAAAGAGGGGCCCGCCAGGTTGTTAACAAGGACTTGCGTGCTGGTGCCAGAATGAAGCAGCTTGACCCAAGAGACGAAAGCCTGAGGTAGCCCGAGGTGGGAGAGGCATGTATAGAGAAAGTGGCGATCTACCATGTCATACGCTTTCTTAATGTCGACAGTAACAAGCGCAAGGGGGAGTTGTCTTGTTTCAGCCCATTCGATGAGGTCGAGCGTGTCATTGATGGTGTCACCGATGCGGCGGCCTTTGATGAACGCCGACTGAGCAGGGTGAATGAGCCTGCGCAGTGTTAACTGCAGCCTCTGGGCAAGATAGGCGCCGCTAACCGTGAAGTCAGAGGTTGTGGGAGGGAGGAAGGGTAGATATGGTTCCAAAAATTGGGGGAAGGTGAGGTCTTGTCCTGGCCACTGTACAGGGTGGTGTAGAAACTGGTGCAGTGCGCGGACATGGAGTGTAGGTCTTGTATTTGTTCGCCGGTCGGAAGAGTGAGGTGAGGAATGAGAGCAGCCTTAATGCGTGACGTGAGGCCGCTTAGAAGGGAGGGTAGCCCCATCTCCTTAGCACCCTCGACCTTGAGTTTGGCCTTGAGAGCTATGTCGGCGGCTCTGCTGGCAATGTATTTGTCGAACTGTTTGGACGTTTGGTCAAGCTTTGCGCGCGCGTCGTCATCTCGTGGAGCACGTGCCAAGGTGAGTTGAAGGTGGGAGATTTCGTTTTGCAGATGGGTGAGCGTGTGTTGGACACGAAGGCGTTCTTCCCGGGAGTGTTGGCGCAGGAAGAGGCAGAGCCTTTTCTTCCATGGATCCCACTCCGAAGGACGTAGCATGGGTGGGAGGTGTTGGCAGGCTTCTCTGGTGAGTTTCTGCACGAAGGGTCTGTGTATGAGTGCATGAGGTAGCCTCCAGGCACGTGGGGCACAGTTCGGATTAGTAAAGCCGAGCAGGATTTCCGGATAGCGCGAGTGATCAGAGATTGTGTGGGCCACAGGTTGGTGTGCGGCTGCAAGGAGTCGAGGGGTCCAAGCGTTGGACAAGTAGATTCTGTCCAAGCGGGAAGAGGGCGGGTCTGCCGTCGTGCCGCCAGAGCATGAGGATTCAAAAGTGAATTCCGCCGTGTCGGGGTGACGAACACGGAAGGCGTCAGCGAGGTCGTGTTTGTCTATGATGGAGGTGAGTAATGCTTCTTCTCGGACTTCTGTGGTGCGAAGTTCACGGTTTCTGTCAATGGGCGCGGTAACAACATTGAAATCACCCATGACCATTGTTGCTTGTGTGGCAGAGGCAATGTCAAGTGCGGAGTCAAGCTGTCAGAACATTATAGCTTATGCTGTTGTGTAGGCTATAGTGGGGTATCCCATAGGGGGTACAACCAATTAGGGTTTCATATTTGTACCCACTTCATTTTCATAGTTCACTCATTCTCGTTCTCATTCTCACATGGAATCAGAGCAGGTCCCCTCCTAGGGACTGTTC